TCTTTCCCTTGAGTTTGTCCACAGTTGCCAATCTTTTTTCAAAAGAGCACATTTGTTTCTCATTTGCTTATATTCATATGATAATCTAGTTTGTTTATTAAAATTTTTGATCAAGTTTGACCACCCAATCTTATTAGAATGGGCGTTTGACTACCATTACTAATTACCTAACCTGAATTTGGCAAAAGAAAGAAAGAAAAACTGAATTTATGCAAAATAAAGAAGAAAAAAAACTCAATTAATTTTTCAGGCAAAACCTGAATTTATGGGTGATCAAATATGAGAAAAAAGAAATATAGCACTGTTCGTTAAAAAAAAAAAAATTTAAAATAAAAAAAACTAAAATAAATTTATCCTGAATTAAAATGTTATTGCATGATTTTATTGAATGTTAAGGCATAAAAAATGAAAAAAAAAAAAATCTAAGGGAGTGTGCGTGGTGGGAGGGCAAAGAGTGAGTGATAGATAGTACATGTTAAGGTCGTCTCTGACTCTGAGCGAGAGAGGATCTGATTCTGATTCTGAATTCTGAGTTCTGAATTGTGAATTGTGAATTGTGATTTGCAGACAGAGAGAAAAGAGATGGCGGTGCAGCCTGGTGGTTCCAAGTCGAAATCGAGCAAGAGAGACACTGACACAGTTCACTCTCCCCTCGTCACCTATGCTTCCATGATTTCTCTCCTCACACTCTGTCCTCCATTTGTCATTCTCTTGTAAGTAATCTGATGAACCCTATGATTTCATTGTAGATCTATTCTGATCCGAAACGCATGCAGATGGTACACCATGACACTTGCTCATGGATCTCTTCTCCAAACCTTTGATTACTTGAGCCAAAACGGGCTACAGGGCTTCCTACTTATATGGCCCAAGCCCACTGCCACTGCTTGCAAAATCATCGCCATCTACGCTGCTTTTGAAGCAGCGCTTCAGCTTCTTCTCCCCGGCAACACCGTTTACGGCCCTATTTCCCCAACCGGCCACCGCCCTGTCTACAAGGTCAATTCAACTCACATGCCTTTCATTTTATTATTATTATTATTATTATTATTATTATTATTATTATTTATTATAACACACTTTCTCCTTTCCATTCTTCAGGCAAATGGTGTCGCAGCTTATTTAGTCACCTTGGTTACTTATATTGCCCTTTGGTGGTAAGCCTTTCAACTTGTTTGCCATTTTTTACACCTCAGGCTCAATGCTGATTTCTCTTGTGCATTTTTCAGGTTTGAGATTTTCGACCCCACTATTGTTTATGATCGTTTGGGGGAAATATTTTCAGCGCTTATCTTCGGGAGCTTTGTCTTCTGTGTTTTCTTATACATAAAAGTGAGACACCAAAAAATGCCCCAAATTATAAACTATTTCTTTCGTATTAATTTACAACCAAATTACTCACTTGGGTTATGTTTGCTACTTGCTAGGGTCATTTGGCACCATCTTCCACAGATTCAGGCTCTTCTGGAAACATAATCATTGATTTTTACTGGGTAAACTAATCTTTGCCTTTTACTTTCGCTAAACAGTGTTGCACCAAGGTCTCTGTTTAATTGTTTATTTTGCATTGAAATTCAAAAGATTGTAAAAGAATAAAATGAATGATGAGAAAAGTATGCATATGTCACTTGATAAATCTCCATGGACTGATTCTATGTCACTTGATGGTTTCATGCCTTTCGAGGATTAATATCTTGTCATCCTTGCAGGGTATGGAGCTCTATCCACGCATAGGAAAATATTTTGACATAAAAGTTTTCACAAACTGCAGATTCGGAATGATGTCATGGGCTGTTCTTGCATTGACCTACTGCATAAAGCAGGTTGAGTCTCAAACTATTTATTCTTTGTATAAATGTTGAAGCCAAGTATCTGCTTATATCATCTGCAGGTTTGGTGATTGTGCTGTCCAACATTTAGTTGGTTTACTCAGCAAGTCTGGATTAATTGCTGACACTTGTAGAAATAGCTTGAGCCTGGGGCCTTGGTAGTTGGCAGAGCAAGCTTTACAGAAGCTCAGAACCATCTCTACTTTTGAATATAGTTGTCTTTTGATGTGGTTCAATATATGATATTGATATGTAACATATTCATCTTTATGTAGTTGGACTTGGTTGGTTGCCCTGATGGTACCGACTTACTACCATCATGAGAATGTTGTGATGGTCCTGATGGATTCAATACTAGATGAATCAGGAACACATTTTTTTTCCATAAATTTATTTCGTGATGCTTCCTCCCTCAGTTAATCTTTCTAATGTTTGTCTTCTCTTGTCTTAACAGTATGAAGAAAATGGAAAAGTAGCTGACTCAATGCTTGTAAATACTGCATTAATGCTGGTATACATTACCAAGTTTTTCTGGTGGGAAGCTGGATATTGGAACACAATGGATATTGCACATGATCGAGGTTTGCATATGTTCGATTCTTATTTCTATTGGATTTTGACATACCTATTCTTTCCCTTTGTTCTATTATTTTGTACTTTTGAAGCTCTATTCTTGTTTCTATTGGACATACCTGTTCTTTTCCTTTGCCATACTATTTTGTACTTTTGAAGCTCTATTATTGTATCTGTTGTGTGTACCTGTTCTTTCCCTTTGTTCGACTGTTTTGTACTTTTGAAGTGTGGTTACTAAATTAGAAAGAACAATATTTGGGAGTATTGTAAGTTGCAACTATCCATTGAAGACTTTTTCTGATAAGAAAAAAATTTGACTTCAATAGTTTGCATAGGTTATTAATATTATATCTTTGATGGCATACATTATTGCTAAATTCATTATACATGTTGCTTTTTAACTTCTTTATTGTCTTACTAAATCTTATAGCACTTAAATCTGGCAGCTGGATTTTATATTTGCTGGGGTTGCTTGGTGTGGGTTCCATCAGTGTATACATCTCCTGGAATGTACCTTGTCAACCATCCTGTATATCTTGGCACCCAGGTACCATCCCCATCCTGTTTGTGTGACTCATGTTGTAGTTCAGTGGTGGTGTAGGAACAAGAATGAAGTTAGAGCTGATAGTGGAGTGACCACCAGAGTTTTTCTTATTTTTAATCTTTTTCATGTCCCAATTTTTCTGAAATTTTCTATTCCTGTCTTACAGCTAGCAGTCACAATTTTAGTAGCTGGCATTCTTTGCATATACATCAACTATGACTGTGACAGGCAAAGGCAAGAATTTCGTAGGACAAATGGAAAATGCACGGTCTGGGGAAAAGCTCCATCAAAGGTGTAAATACATAGTACTTTCTGTGTAAATTTTCATTTGGAGTTTATATTCTATAGAATGTATGTCAGATTTGAATGCTAACCAAAATACTTGCTAGTAGATTTGCACAAGCTATAGACATAATAAAAATAAATTTGCAGATAGAGGCCTCATATACTACTACTGCTGGGGAAACTAAAAGAAGCCTTCTTTTAACCTCTGGATGGTAAGTCTTCATTTAAATTTATGTAAACACAAAATTGTGGTAATTAATGCTAGAGAGTAGTGATTATTGAAAAGCTGAGACCATACTTTCCTGGCTGCCTCCTGTTCCCTGATTAAGGGAGGAGTTTGTGCTCACCACTTGTTGGGCTTGATTCCAGAAATTTGATTTAAAATATATCATAATTCTGTAAAGTTTATATTGGTAGTTTAGATTCTTATATGAATGTTATTTGTTAACCAGAGGTGGCTTTTAATTTCTAAATTGGCATAATCTGACGTAATGTTTGCTTAGAACAAAAATTCTGCCTTAAAAATAATCAATTCACTTTTACTGTGGTACCTGCAGGTGGGGATTATCTCGTCATTTTCATTATGTCCCTGAAATATTAGCTGCTTTCTTCTGGACAGTCCCGGCTCTTTTCAATCATGTAAGTGTCCCTTTTAGTTTGTACAATTTGAAGTTTGGAGAGCAATGTTAACTTGATCTTTTTTCCCTTGCAGTTTTTGCCTTACTTCTACGTGATATTTCTTACCATTCTTCTCTTTGATCGAGCAAAACGAGACGATGATCGATGCAGATCCAAGTAAGCATTCATTTCTATGATTTTATCTATTGATGTTGAGCATTTTTCTATTCAGCATGCCCTCTTAAGCTTCATCTATGGCTACAAACGGTTTTCTTTTGAGTTACAACTTATTGGTCGGATAAATAGGCATATTTTTTTTTTAATCAAAATGAAATCAACGACATACTGGTAGCCCAATTAGACTGCTTCTAATGTTTGCAAATCACAGTATACAGCAATAAAATATTGAGACCATCTCAACTTCGCATGGTAGTGCTGTGCTACTAAAAGTCTAAAACAGAAATTTAACAAAAAAATGTCTTATGTTTCCAATTCGTATTGCCATAAAAAATATTTTCTAAAAGCAGCACGATTATGAAAAATAAAAAGAATAGTTCTTCAAAGCCAATATTTTATTTATCATAGAATCGAGTTGAACTTTTCATTACCAAAAGTTTGGAATATTCTGTAGTTCTGGATCAGCTCCAGTTGAAGAACGAAGTTGAAAATTTTCACTATTGCACGCAGGTATGGCAAGTTCTGGAAGTTATATTGCGACAAGGTACCTTACAGAATCATTCCAGGAATGTACTGACGATGGCTTGTCTGGAATATACTGAAGAATGATTATTGCGGCAATGTACCTTAAAGAATCATTCCAGTACCACTTGGTCTTGGCTTTTATGCCCATCTGAAAACTAAGGACGCCATCTGTAGCTTTATGTTATTTACCGCTTTTGCTTGGTTACGTAGACTTTCGCCCAGAACAAATTAATTATTGAACCAGATTTTTTAAGCTAATGTCGCCACTCGATTTTGGCTTCAGCTGTGTTCATTTCTTTATCTATGAAGTCAAAATCGTCTCTTTCTGGCTGCTAATGACTTCTGAGAAAGGTGTATTGGTACAATTTAAGTTTTTTACTTTTGCGGGAGCATGTGAAGGTAGGTTGCGTAAACATATTTTATATACATTTTAATAGATGGAGCACAGGGCTATTTTTTTTTTTTGGGTTAATAAAAGTCTATTCAAACTTAGATTACACAAGTTTAAATTGCAGATAGTTTTATCTAGTTATAGTTATTCAATTAGTTCTTGAGTGTTGTTGAGGGATCTTTAGGTTTGTTGAGTGAAATTGTAGTGGAAGAAGCGAATATGCATTCAAACATTGGAGCGCATGAGAGTTATTTATTCTCCCTTTAGCAATCTTTTTTCTTTCCTTCTCTTTATCCTTTTTATTTTACATTTTGAAAACTATTTTAACAAATTAGGAAATTAGTTTTCGAAATAAGAAAAGGGTGAGGGAAAAAATGAGCACAAAATGAAACTCCTGGAAAGTTGTGTAGGTACCATCACTTTGACCTAGATTTATTTTAAAGAGGATTCCTAGCAATAATTCAATTTTTTTATGCATTTATAACAATTCTTTCCTTCATTACTACCACTAAACCGGCCTTAATAGTATCTAGTAAGTAGTAACACTCCACAGCACAAATATCAAAATATAGGCTTGAAAGTTTAAGGTTGATTTTATATGCGGAACAAAGGAAAAGTTCATTTTTCATACATTGTTTTATTTTATTTTATTTCTCTCTTTTTGCTTAGTATTATGTAATGGCCTGATATGATAGACAATGTACGCCAACATAACATATTTAAGATACTGAATCCGGGTAGAAGCTAGAAACAGAGGTATCCACCATAATGTATTGTGAAGTTGAGAAGTCCCTCTCCTTGTGGGTGAAATTCCTTACAGCTGGAACAGTCCCTCTAATAAATGGCAAAATTAAAAAGCTGATCCAAACATTCTTTCTGCTGTGTGATATAAAGTAACATGGAAAAAGTACGGTTTCTATAAGACATAAATAATGCTACTGCAGTGAATTAAGTGCGTCTTTGGAATGATATCTCTATCTGATGCATAACAGACAATTCATGTCAAAGAGGCCAAATGACGCAAAAGCAATACCGAGTTGCCGCGTCTATTGCCTCTCAACCTAAAACCAAACATTACCATCATTAGTTTTTTAAACATGTCCATCAATAAATATTATATAAATTTATAATTTATTGTGCCCATAAGCATAGCAAAAATACAATTTCAATTAATGCTAATGAAATTAATATTTGACGTTAATTTAATAAAAATGTAACATGAGTGTAAAGTCTATAATCTTATTCCCTTATATTTTGATACATTACTGTTTACCATTAATTCATTTTATAATATAATTAAATAGAAGTAAAAAATTGTCAAATATTAGGGGAAAGATAGGGTAATCTATTTCTTACGTCAACATCTATTTACTAAATTCATATAATAAATTAAATGATATTTCTTGAAAATATCAATGAAGGGAGTGTATTAGATTGAGATTTTAAATAACAATTTTAGTATGAAAAAGTCTCGTAGAATTTAATAAATTTTAAAAGATTTTGTAAGGATATCGTGACTTTTAATATTTTTTTAAAAGACTTTTAAAACTTGAATTTTTATCAAAATTTTGTAATTCAAATTTTAATGGATTTATATTATAAAATTTTAAAAAAAATTATGGATTTTATAAGAAAAAATGGATTTGCAATACTATAAGATTTAATAAAAAAATATAACATAAATAGTAAAGAAAAATAAAATCAACATAATTTTTTAATCTTTTGACAGATAATTAATTTTAATGTTCTTTTGACTAACATTTTTTTCACGTATCTAAAGTTATACTAGCACTCAATGTATTGACATATTCTTTTTCATGTAGTTGAATCTAAACAATATGTTTAAAATTATGTTCCTCATTAATTGGTAATATTAAAAATAAATATTCATCCACTAATTTAAAATTATGGTTTTCATTTCAAGGATTATTACCATGACCTACAAAGTACAAAGTTTTTTCAGTATATGTTTCCAAATTTTATATTTCAATATTAAATTTTATTAAAAATAAATACTTAAATTTTAATAAATTTAAAAAATTAACAATATATAATATTTAATAATACAAAAATTATTTTAAATATTTAATAATTAAAAAATATATTGATAAATTATACATTCATTGATAAATAAAAAATAAATATGAGAAAAAGAAGTGATAAATGAGAGAAGAGATGAATAAGAAAAAGAAAGAGAGATAGAAAAGAAAGAAAGAAAAGCTAGACAGAAAGATAGAAAAAAGAATATGAGAAAAAAAAAAGAAAATGAGACAAATTAGAGAGATGAACAAAAATAAAATAAAAAATGAGATAGAGAAGAAAAGAAAAGAAAAAGTAGTCAGAATGGTGAGAGAATGGTGAGAGAGAAGAAGAAGAAGAAAAAATATGAGAGAGAAGAAAGAAAAGTGAGGAAAAAAAAAGAGAGAAAGAAATAGTATAAATAAAAGGGGAAAAAAGTTCTAAATGCTAGAGATTTTAAATTATACTAAAAAAATCTCACAAAATTCAGTATTCAAAATAATTCATTGAAATTTTTATATTTTTTATGTCAACAGATATTTTAAAGTAAAAAAAAATCATAATTAAATATCATTAAATTTTGATAAACTATTTAAAAAAAAATCTAATTGTCTTAATTGAATATCATCAAATTTTAATTGATTTTTTAAATTTTTTTTATTATCTTGATTGAATATTATAAGACGTTTTTGTAATAAGAGTATTTTAAAATTAAGTGAAATTTTAATCCAATACACCTCTTAAATTATATATTTTTTTGTTTTCACTAAATATCACGATTTTTTCCATTTCATCTTTCAGCTTGATACGTTATTGTTTACTCTTAAAAAATTCTCAAGTAGTTTGCCTGTAAAAGAAATTGTTAGGTCCGTTAAATATATACGTGATTCTAAAAAATAAAGGAAGAAATAAAAAAAAATGATATTTAGAAGGATTAAATATAAAATTAATAGTATTTAGGAAGACTAAAAATTAAACTAAAATCAATATTTAACAGATAAAGTTGAAACTAAAAAGACATGCACGACTGTTATTGAAAAATTAAATAAATCTAGTCAATGAATCAAAATTATTATTAACTGATTGATCCATTATTTTTATATTTTATTTTAATAAAAATTTTAAAATTATGAATATTTAATTGATCAATTGATATTTAATTTAATTTTTAAATTTAATAATTTTAAATTCAAATTTTATCCATATAATAAATAATAATTTTAAATACTATTTTTTATTATTTAAAAATTTAAAGATGAAATTGTCTACATTAAATGAGATAATTATTTTTATAATATATTATAGATATCACTTTTAAAAGAAAATAAACTAATCATAAATAACAATTTATGATTAAATGTTAAGGTTACATTGTGAATTCATAAGATGTTTATTTATAAATATAATAAAATACTATCAGAAACAGTACACCAAAAAAAAATTACATCAATCAAATTTGTACCTGTATAAGGATACACCAATGATCTTCTTGTATTCTGAAGGCCGAACGAGTGTTCTGAACGAGTATTCCGATCCAACGTGAGTAGACGGGTTTGTACCTGTAAAAGACACTCCGATGCTCAAGTCAGCACAAGCACGAAAATCTAGAGTAATTAATGAACAGTGACGTTACCTTTTGACCTGAGTTATTTATACCGACAATCGTGGGCCCTGGACCTTATGGGCTCTGTAACATACTTACCGTATTAGGTAATACTTCTTAATCAGCTAATTAACCCTTAATTATTTATTAAAAATAATTAATAAAGATAAGCCGAACCAGGTGATCGATTGGCAATCGGCCACCTGGTTCGACCATTCGGCCGATAAGAAGGTGGCTGAACGCCCCTACCCGTGCAAAATTAAATTGTAATATGTTAAGGTAAAAAAAAAAACACTAAAGTTAACCTAATCTGAATAAGTTGGGGTAAAGAATATAGAGTCATGATCGCAGTCAGAGGTGTAAAAACATAGATGCTTAACTATTTTTGCACAAATAATATGATACATAAATTTGATTTTTTTTATAATTTATCTGATAAAAAAAGTTGGTCTAATATGGATTTTGATTTTTGAACAAGGATAGATATACATGTATTTAATAATTTAGTAATAATACGATAAGATAAGTTGTTTTTGTTCTCTACAAAAAGCGTGCCCTATTGAAAGCAATTTCTTTTTAGGAAAAAAGTATGAAAATATTGAAATCGAATTGAGGCATAAAGATCTGGTCGGGCGCGGAGAGTTCACCCTTTCATTCAAGCTTTCGTTTTCGGTGCGATTTTGAGTCCTTTCATTTTCTCATCCTTTGCGATTTAACGATTTGAATGTGAATATAGATTTTCTCTCCGTTCTATTGGGTTGTTTATATGAAATTTGCGAATTGGGATGTTGAATAGTTTGCTGAAATAATTTTTCTTTTTTCTTTTTCTTTTGGGCTCTGCTCTATTTCATGTTTGCTTTTTCTGATACTTAATTCAAATCGACGTTCTTAAACAGCTTTAGTTCTTTCGATGCACATTCACTAGTTAGGGTTTTTGTTACTACCCCCAATTATTCATCTGCCCCACCACTTATCTGGGATTACCTGATACACCATTCTACAATTTAAAAAGAAAAAGAAAAATCTTTTGTCTTCAATCGTCGTTGTTTTTTGACAGAGATGTCAGCGTATGACAATGTTGTTGGTGGGAAATTGAAGCTGAAGGGAAAAGCACTGGATGTGGCTGGTGGAGTGAAGAAGAAGAAAAAGAAGAACAAGAGAAATCAAGATCAACTTCTACAAGTCACCGAAGATGAAATTTCAGCAGGTTGGTTGCTATCTTTTTCAGGCAACATATTCTTCTTTCATTAACTGAGGTCTGTTGTTAAATTACAATTTGTTGTAACTAAACCTAGCTATTGAAAATGCTGGATCTTTCAGCAATGTTAAAACCTTTCCTTTGATTCATGATGTATGGTACAATCATCCTGTAACATGGTTCTATTTTATGTCACGTATAGTTCTGCTGAATATGTTGTAGACTTGTAAATAACGGTTCATGGAATTGACATGAGGGCGTGAACTTTAGTGAATACGTTACTATAATAATTGGATATGTAAAATGGTTTGCCTGTGGTCAAGGTGAATGATAACAGTAATAATCTTTGTAGTGGTAAACCCATAGATTTATGTGTGAACTTCCTAGAAGAGATAGATTTTTATTGTTGTTAAAAATGATGGGCAATGGTTTATGGAAATTAGAATATGAAAGATGGAACTTAAATATTATAACTATTTTTTAAGTTTCAGTAAGCAGGTAACTGTTGCGCAAAACTGATGATTTATGGGACTGCTCAGAGTCGCAGTTCTGTTTTTGTTCATCTTCTGCAGTCTTTTTATTTTTAATTCACCATAAATTATGCAATGTATGTTTGATGTAGGTGGAAATACAGAACAAGCCAAAGATCCTAATGATCAAGATGTAAATGATGCAAACGAATTAAGCGGTAAAGGGAAGTCTGCACATTATGATGATCACCTTACACCGGCAGAGAGGCGATACATAGAGCAGAGGGAACAACTTGATGTTCATAGATTGGCTAAAATTGCTAATAAATCTCACCGTGATAGAATTCAGGATTTCAACCAATATCTCGCAAACATGAGCGAGCATTATGATATTCCTAAAGTTGGTCCTGGATGATTCATACAGCTGTACAAGTATGAAGACCAATCCTCATCACTTGTATGTGTTAGTTAATATTAATGCCGTGTGTATGCACAATGCTTATTGGCACTGCATATTCATACTGTGTTGGACCAAGCTATGCCCATATTTCATAATTTCGTATCATAGATATATTTTATTGCATCCCCTGCAGATGGTAAGTATGTTATTGACTTCAATTTAATTTCATCATTATTTTGTTAATTGTTCAAGAATAGGTTAAATGTCAGTTTGCTTATGTTTAATGAAATTGTTTTTAAATCGTTGAAAGCAATTTCGATGTATGTCACTACTTTTTAAAAAAATAGAAATTAATAATTCGAAATCCAATTTGAATTTAGATTCCTATTGATGTTTTGTTCGAAAACTGAAAATTCAATTTGGGTTTTTATGGTCTAAGAAAAAAGAGAATTGGTGACTAAGAATAGATTTTTTTTATAAAGCGTGGTTATATTTTTAGGGAGCTTTATCATATGATTGTGATTTTACTCCAATCAATACAAAATTTTACTAAAAATCACTACTATTAATATCTTCTCTATTTCTTGTCTTTCAATTTTGTTTCCTATCCAAACAGTGTAAAAAATGACAGAACACTGAAATTTGGAATGCAACATTAGGAAATGATGATCTTCAATTGTTGCGGCACTATCAATTTTTACAATTTGAAAATCGATTATTTTAATTATTGAGATTAAATGTTCTTAATCTTTGTAAATAAGTTATTTTTTGTCATTTGTATTATATGATTATTTTTAACTACTTTGATGTTTATCTTATAGTCAAGTGATTATTCCTAATGACATTTACAATTATATTTGATATCATGTTAGTATCTAATATTTCTAAATTTTTCTATAAATTTATAAAAATAAATATTATTTATCTACCTTAAAATAAATATTAAACATTAAAAATAGTAACTTTAAGTTTTAGAGGAATAAAATAAAAATTTTAGGGACCAAAATTAGAATTTACTTATTTTTTACCACCTTTTACAATGATTTCAAATTTTAGAGAGATAAAATAAAATAAAATAAAAAGATTATAGAGACTAAAGAAAAATACAAGAACTGAAAACACATTTAAGGTAAAAATAAAATATCAAATTGTACATTTAACTAAATATAATTAATTTTAAATTATGCATTTAACTAAATATAATTGATTTTATACTTTATTTTTAATTTTTGTCATTTATTAGTTTTTATATTTAGTTTGAATCGAAACTTAATTATTAATTATGCCCATGGTCTATCGCTTGTAAATAAGCACCGGTTAACCACCTCCCTCACAGTTTGCATGAGATTCCACTTATTCCATCTCATCATTTTTATGAATATCTGACAGAACCAATCTCTTAACTCATTCTTTCATCTGAAATCCTAGGGTTTGATAGTCGCAATTAATAAAGCAAATTTTTCTCTTAACACAGGGAACTCTAAAGCTTCCCTTCATACTCTCCACCACGAGTTTTGCATAGAACATGAACATGTGGAGGTGCCCCAAGTAGCCAATGTGTGTGCAACATGATTCACCTCTCGAAATATCGCATGTACCTCTATGTGTCAGGAGTTGACACACCTCTTCAATGGCATTCGCATGCAGATGAGATCCACGTCCAGGAGCAGTAACCGCTTCTCTATAGTCTGTCTCGCAAATGATGGATTTCACTTCATGACCCCATGGTGTCTCCAATGGCAAAAGTTGGAGAAACCTATCACCTAAGCACCATGTTGGTCCCTAACAACACCACCAAATCCCACATTGAGCTTAATGGAGGGGGGTGGAGGGAGTTGCCATATGAGATCTCAGTTCTCTAAAACGCCAGGCTTTAAACGAATATAATCCTCATAGCTTGATCTCACCAAGCAGCAGACTTGGGAGATATGCCATTTCTTAGTTTCACTTAGTGTCCTTACCCATGTTTTATTGGGTGAATTGACGAGCTGCCAAACAAGCTTGCCTAAGAGAGAAACGTTTGCATATCTAGCATCCTGAACTCCTAAATCGTCTAAGTATTTTGGTTTGGTAAATACATCTCAAGAGACTAGATTCCAACGTCTAGAATTCATCTCGGTAGACCATATAATAGATTTAGAGGCCTTAATTGATAGTGGCAGTTTGTGGTAACCAAAGCATTTGCATAATATAGGTAGGCAAGACAATCAACATCGATTTCGTGAGGCAAAGGCGGCCTGCTTTATTAAGCATTTGCCCTTTCCATGAAGTCAATCTAGAGCTGACTTTATCCATAATGATATTGAAGTTTGGTTGGCCAGAATTTTGAAACCCAAGTATTTACCAATATGTGGGGTATCACATGGGCTTGATCCGAAGTTGCTCTACCAAACCAAAGGAAATCATCTGCAAAAAGATGACACAGAACCATACCTCCCATAGAAATCGAAATAGGTTCCCAAACATGGTTGTCCACAAGAGTTTGGAGAGGGAGTATTTTATTTAGAACATTTAAGTAAATTAAGTTTTTTTAAGAATGTAACAGAATTTTCAGCCTTTTCTTTTATCTTGTATTATTATTCGGTGATCTTTTACCTTACAAAACCCTTATATTGGGCATGACAATGGTATAAGTTGGAAGCGAGTTTGACTCTCCTCATCTCACCCTCACAATGGCAAGCAAAATTAAGGTTGAGTTTACAAAAGATAGGGATAATAAACTATAAAATTAATAAAATAACTTATTTTTGTTATAAAAGGAAGAAAAAGTAGAAAGAAGAAATAAGACAGTATGAGATAGAGAAAAGATTCTGACTGGTATATTATCTTTGGGAGAGGAGTAACCTATTTATAAGTATATGTGGTAACTGAATAATTACACAATAAAGGGAATAATACATAACGGACATGTAAATGGTAATGATTGATAATGAATATTGACATCCACTAATTAAGCCACTAATTATTATTCATAACACTCCCCCTTGGATGTCCAATATTTAGAATGTGCCTCGTTAAAACCTTACTAGGAAAAACCGTGTGGGATAAAAATCTAATGAAAGAAAAAGAGTACATCATTCATAAATATTTATTTCTCCCCCTCATGCATACAATCTTTAAGACGACGGAGTCCAATCTTGTGTATCAACTGTTCAAAAACTTTTCTTGGAAGTGACTTTGTAAAGAGATCTGTTAGGTTGTCACTTGAGCGGACTTGTTGAACATTTATATCACCATTCCTTTGAAGATCATGAGTAAAAAAGAATTTTGGTAGAATATGCTTTGTTCTATCTCCCTTTATGTATCCATCTTTCAATTGTGCAATACATGCAGCATTATCTTCATATATAATTGTCGATGTCATTTTTCCAGAAGATAAACCACAAGTTTCTCGTATGTGTTGAATCACAGATCTTAGCCAAACACATTAATTCACGACTTGCCTCATGTAATGCTAAAATTTCAGCATGATTAGATGAAGTGGCTGATATGGTTTGTTTTACAGATCGCCATGAAATGGCTGTACCACCACTTGTGAACAAATATCTTGTTTGTGATTTACCATTATGAGGATCTGACAAATAACCTGCGTCTGCATAACCATTTAGTTCTGGTTTAGAAACATTTGAATATAATAACCCCATATCCATTGTACCTCTAAGATAACGAAGTATTTATTTAACTCCAATCCAATGTCTTCGTGTAAGTGAAGAACTATATCTTGCTAACAAATTAACAGTAAATACTATATCAGGTCGTGTGTAATTAGCAAGGTACATTAGTGCTCCTATAGCACTAAGATATGGTACTTCAGGACCAAGTATTTCTTCATCCTTTTCTTGGGGTCTAAATGGATCTTTATTAACATCTAAAGATCTTACAACCATGGGAGTGCACAATGGATGTGATTTGTCCATATAAAACCTTTTAAGCACCTTTGTTATATAAGTTTCTTGATGCACAAGAATTCCATTTTCTAAGTATTCAACTTGCAATCTTAGACAAAACTTTGTCCTTCCTAGTTCCTTCATTTCAAATTCTTTCTTTAAGCAATCTATTGCTTTTGAAAGCTCTTCAGGAGTTCCAATAATGTTTATACCACATACACGGACAAATTGGATCATTTTTATATCCTTCTTGTAACAAGTATTCACTTAGTCGATTATACCACATACAACCTGATTGCTTTAGCCCATATAGGGACTTATTTAATTTAATCGAATAATCTTCTCTAGAAATTGCATCGTCAGGCAAATTAAATCCTTCTGGGAGTTTCATATAAATGTCAGCATCAAGAGAGCCATATAAATATGTTGTAACTACATCCATTAGATGTAAATTAAGTTTTTCATGTACAACCAAACTAATTAAATATCGAAAAGTGTTTGCATCCACTACAGGTAAATATGTCTCTTCAAAATCAATACCAGGTCTTTGTGAAAAACCTTGAGCAACTAGTCTTGCTTTGTATCTCACAATTTCACCATTTTCATTTCATTTTCGCACAAAAACCCATTTGTATCCAATTGGTTTTACACCTTTTGGTGTACGTAGTACTGGTCCAAAAACTTTTCGCTTAGCAAGCGAGTCTAATTCTGCCTCAATTGCATCTTTCCATTTTGGCCAATCATTTCTTTGTCGACAATCGTTAATGGATTTTGGATCTTGATCCTCAATATCATTTATTTCATTTAGCGCTATATTATATGCAAACACGTCATCAATATTGACATTGTTTCGATTCTATCGTATTCCATTCATGACATAATTTATTGAGATCTCTTCATTTTCAATAATTTCAGGTACCTGAGTTTCTTCTGGAACTGGAATAGTTTTTACATCCTCAATTTTGTCATTTTGCTCTTTAGCTCCCTTTTTTATTCGAGGATTCTTATCATTGGAACCAATTGGTCTACCACGCTTCAGGCGTATTTGTGATTCGTTTGTAGTATTAAATTGTCCAACAGGGACTTCGACTCTTATTGGAGCATTAGCCGCTGGTACATATGACTTAGTCACCATTTTTGGATCTGTGAATACATTTTGTAATTGGTTGGCTAGATTTTGCAAATGAATTATCTTTTGAACTTCTAGTTCACATTGTTTTGTACGAGGATTAAGATGAGATAGTGATAATTCATTCCAACTAATATCTTTTTCCAACTATTTTTGTTCTCCCCCTAATG